GGTCACTTCCTCTTATGAACCCTTCAGATGTCTTGCCTAGATGCTCAGGGTACCATGTACATCATCCAAAAAAGTACTTACTGCATTATGTTTATAGTCCGGATGCTTTCTCACTCATCTGTAACCACACGCAGAACATGAGCCCTGAGCCTCCTCTGTTCTTGACTGTGTTCAAAACACACCATGGCATCATAAATGCAGTGATCCTCAAACAATGTTTGCTAAATGAGTAAAACACAATTCTGCAAGCATCCCTGTAACATAACCATTTGTCTCTTGATTTGCAAATCAATATGTCTATAGGGACATATGTGTTAAGTTCCAAATGATGAAGTTCAAACTATTGGCAATTATCAATGTGAGTCCAGGTCAAGTTTATATAAATTCCAGGCTCAAATCTGCTCCAAAAACAGCCAAATGCCATCTATTCTAAAGCTGTTCCAGTTACATTAGCTAAAAAAGTATAACCATGTGCTTCAAATCCTCATCTGGATCCCCAAGAGAAAAAATGGTTAGCTCTACAATAACAAATGAAAGTGGTAAGGAAAAAAGGAGGGGTGTGGGTGGTGCCTCTCCTTCCTAGAACAATGTAACTTATGGCAGCTTGACTTGAACCCACTCAATTTAAGCCTTGTTTATTGTACAGATCACAAAACACTGGTTTATAAACACTAAATTTTGGCAACCCATATAGACCTTAACTTGTAGGTCTCTCATGAACCACTGCAATCAGTTAGGGTGAGAAAACAGAGATGAGATGATGTATTGGACTACAAGTTTAAAAGGTGCATCACTGTGGTCATCTATACACTTCTGAATCAAGGCATAAAGAGACACACTGTATCTCTTCAACCAGCAAGGAAAAGAGGGCAGGGAGGGGTAAGACATGAAATAAGATTTCCAGTGCGAGTAACAACTATTCAATCAGGACAGTGACAATCAGAATCCCAGCACAGCTCAGAATGAAGTCACAGCACTAATGTGCATGCCTCCTGCAGGGAAGGTGCCTGTAATATGCTTGCACATTTTCTGCAAAATCCAGAAGTTTCAGCGTGTTAAAACTACACAGCAGGATACTACTGCCTCTCTCTCTGTATAGAACTTCCTCAGTTTCTCTCTTGCACTGTTAACTGGAGCACAAAACTTGATGTTCTACTGCGGAACACTGCAGAGATGCCTTTCCTAAGGTGGTTAAGTGACCTTTCACTGACAAATCCAAATGCCTGTTCTCAACTCTCATGCTTTCCTAAGCTGATTTCCTACACACTACTGCCTGTACATCTGTTTCTCCTTCTCACCATTCCATGCTCACCTTCCTCATTACCCAACTGGTCTTCCTTCACTGACTCCTCGGGATGGCATGTAGTCCCATGAATTGACACAAAGGTTTCCAAAGTTTAAGTGACGAGAACATACTCCTCCATTCTCCTATTCCCACCACTCACCAAATAAAATCTTATCATGAACTCAGCACTCATCCGATGTGGCCTCTTTTCTAATTGCTTAGAAGTATGCTACTGTACCCTGAAGCACTGTGCTTCACAAGCAACAAATGTGAAAACAGGTGAAAATCCTCAGTCCGCAAGTCATCCCAGAACTTCAGCCCCACACTTCCAATGCCTCCACTGACTTGGTTTTGCTTTCTCTTGCCTCTGCCACAGTTCTCACAGCCACTCGGATTTTAAACCTCCACCCCTTCTATCTCCCTGACTTGAGATCTGTCCACTCTGCAGTTTCTCACAATTGGAACCTTTCACTCCTCCATTCCCAGGCCCAGGGAATTCCAATTAATCTAGGCTTTTATTATCACTAGTATGCACTAATCAGGTAATTTACCAGAGCTAGTTGCACCTCCTCCAATCCCTTCTACTGACTACTATATGTTACTCTTACTATAAGAACTGCTCTTATGGGATAACTATGCAGAACCCTTCACTGCTCCATAATGCTGACAGAAATAAGAACAAAATGGTGAGGTGTTGACCATTCAAGGTCCCCTATAATCTGCCATGAATCTATTTTTACAGCCTTACTCTACAATACAAAGATATGTTCCAGAGACTCTCTTCACCCTTTTCCCCTAAAAAAAAAACCCCAAAAAACAAACAAATTTCACATAACAGAAAATCAAATGCAATGGTATGTCCAGAGATAAAGAAGAGGCCTGCAAACTAAGGCCTTTAGCCTGTTTTTTGTAAACAATATTTTGATGTAACACATCCTGCTCATTCCTTTAATATGGCATGTGACTATTTTTACGCAATGGCAGAGTTGAGCGGTAATGAACAAGACCACCACAGCACCACATATTTATGGACTTGCTCCTTACAGAAAAAGTCTGTAGACACCTGCATTTAGAAGTTTAACAGGATTACTCCTACTGCGGTTTTGAGAACCAACTGTGGGAATGTGGCAAGAGTGGAAGAAGGCAGACTCCTTAGGAGGCTACTGGAATAATCTCCAGGCAATAGATTATAGGCATTTACACAAGAGTGGAAGTGGTGGGGATGGTGAGAAGTGAATGGGTAACAAAGACAAAGTGGATAGAATTTATTGATGGACAGGAAGCAGGTTTGAGAGAGAGGAATTAAGGATGACATAGTTTCTGGCCTAAGCAACAAGAAGGCTACAGTTGCTACTTTTAAGCAAAATGGGGCCTACTATGGGGAGAACAGGATTTGAAGGAAAGTCGGATCCACTACTGAACAGAATAATTCACATGGGTTTCTTTCCTAAACGAAAGTGTCCAATGGCTCACTATTCTTTCAGAGTAAAAGTCAAAATCCTCGCAATGATTACAAGAGCCTGAGTGATCAGTTCCTCCATTACGGCAGAGTGGGCCTCCTCCATTCAGATCCTCCAACTGCTATAGACTGCCCCCCACCGCCTTCCAAAAATTAGTATGTTGAAATCTAATCCTCAACATGATGGAATTTGGACTTGAGGCCTTTGGGAGGTGATTAGTTAGGTAGGTCATAAGAGCAAAGCCCTCAGGAATAGAGTAACATCCTCATAAAAGAGACGCTAAAGGGCTGTCTTCCCCCTCTTGCCCTGAGGACACAGCCAGAAGGCAGTCCTAAACCAGAAATCAGGCCCTTACCACCACCAAATCTGCTGGTGCCTTAATCTTGGGATTTCCCAGCCACCGGAACTAAGGCGGGTAAATTTCTATTACTACAGGCACCGAAGCAGATGAAGACACAAACATTCACTCTACCCCATAGCCTCCTTTCTCTTCCCAATCACACTAAGCAGGCTCCTGTGTCAGACCTCCACACCTGTTTTTTCACTGTCTGGGATGCTTTTCTCCCAAGAAATCTACAGAGCTTATTCTCTACCCCTGCCCCCACTCCTCAATCCCATTTAAACATAACCTTCTCTGTGTGGTTTCTTTCCAGCCATTGGTCCATTCTTCCCCCACTTTTTCGCCCCTATTCTCTGCTCTATTTACCCTTAATGTGTTTATTACCTTCTCACATAACTTGTCTCTTTCCCCCACCTCCTAAGAACGGAAGTGCTCTCCAAGAGAGCAAGGATATTTGTCTTTTCCCCTCACTGCTGTAATCACACAGTCTGAAACACAGCACATGCTCAATAAATACTTATTGAATAAACTGGCCCAAATAGTAAATATAATTTATCAAAGACTCATGATAATTTCACTCATGTTCCCAGGTTTTTGAGAGGTAAAAAAGAAAACCACATTGTAAACACTTTATATGCAGCTTAACTCAATGATTTTACTACTAGTTCTCCTTCTAGTCCAGAGTACCAGTATAGGACTCCCTTTTCTCCTTCTCCTGCTCTCAACAATTAAATGTTTGAGATCAGCTCACAGATAACACATGCGTGACCGCACACACACATACAAGCTTTTCTTGGTGGCCCATCAGTCCTACGTTCCTTTCTGGTCCCATTTCATCAGCAGTCTTCCCCTCTGCAACATGTGCTCACACCAGCCAGACCCTGTTCTCCTCAAAGACACTGTGTTCCTTCTCACTTCAGTAACCTTTCCACCTGTCAATCCCTCTATCTGGAAAGCACCCCCACACCTATTCCAGTCTGCTCCTTCTCTCCAAGATCTCCAATGTCACTCCCTCAAAAACACCCTGCCTGTCACCCCAACCTAAAAACAACACCACTATTTCAACTCCTCCTCTATTTTCTTCCTAAGACTTAAGACCATCTAAAGTCTTACTTGCATACATATATCTTACTGATGACAACAGATCTTATCTATTTTGTTCCCCAATCTCTGTTCCTCGTGCCTAGAACACTATATAAAATAGACGATCGTTTAATTACTTCTAGTAGGTATCAGGGTGGACAGCCCCAATTTGCCATTAAAGACACTAATATTAAAAAGTTACAAGATTCCTGACATTAGACAGCTAGAAGGTTCTAGCTGGAAACGAATACTTGGGACTGGTTTTACAACCTCACAAGACCTGGAGGCAGACACTAGTAACTCCTCTTCAGTCAGTACACAGAACAGTCCACGTAACCGCCGGAAACTTTCTGCATCTGCATGCCTATAGTTGATAAAAGACCCTCCCAGCCAACCCAACTGTCGCAGGAGAACCTGCCTCCAGGCAACAAATATTTAAAAACAAGCTAGGACAAGTAAAAGCCTCGGAAGAAAATATTCTTCAGCATTTCACCTATCACTCACCAACCTAAATGTAAACCCTGGGGAGCCTTGAGGTTGGGTAAGGCCTCGAGGAGGCCCTCCAAGAACTCCCTTACTCCACCCCACCACCGCAACCCAGTAAATGAATCCTGGGTTCCAATCCTAAGTAAGCCAAAGGAAGTTTTTCTAAAGCAACCACCATAAAAAGATGAGGGACAACCTGCAGGCAGGGGGGAAGGGGAGGAAAGCTTCCGCCAAGAAGCTGGAGCAGCCCGCAGAGACGCAGCCCCCGCGGCCAGACCCCCCAGCCCTGCGCCCAGAGGGGCCCACCGAGTCCCTCCGCGCCCTCGGCCCCGGGAAGGCGCCGCACCTGCTGCAGGGAGGCACAGCCCTGACATCGTGAGAGATCCGCCGCTGCTCCGGGAGCCGCCGAGTGGGTCTCGCCCGGCATCATGGTGTCGCCGCCGGGCCCGATGGACCCGCACGCCTCAGGGACCCGCGGCCTCAGCCCTGTACTCCCTATGCTGACGCCGCCGGGGCCGCCGCCTGCCAGGCCGCTTCCCGCCGTATCCGGGCGGGTCCATCCGTGCACAGAAGTCCCCGTGGAGCAGACTAAAGGCTCCCTGAGCCAGAGCTGCTTCGGGCACTAGACAGAAACGCTACCCGGCGCGGCCCCCGAACGCGACGCGGCCCAGCCAGGGCCCCGCCCCGCCCCAGCTGGCCACGCCCCTCCCCTCTCCTTGGGGTGGCCTAAGGTTGCGCCGGAGCAAAATAGGGAGCACAGCCGTGCCGATGCGGCGGGGGCTACGTCCACAAAAGAAAATTCAGGGAGAGCAGAGGCATCTGAGGTGCACTCCCTCCACTGTTTACGAGTTAATGTTTTATTTCCGGCTTGTTGTATGACAGACTTTCCATAGGCACCTAAATCTTCAACTCAGGGGAGGCGACCCGTGATGATGTCATATAAGGCGTCTCCTGCGCTGTGAGGACCTTATCCTCAATTGGTAAGTGCGCGATTTATAACCAGAGGCAGCCTCGCAGTCCGAGTCCTGCCGGTCTGGGCGGAGCCCGGAGGACTACAGTTCCCAACGCTCCGCGCGACTGGCGGACCTGAACAGTTTTTTGGCCGCGCCCCGTGTGCTTTAATCGCCTAATCTCGGCCTTTGCTGTCGTTGGCCCTTTCCTCCTCCAGGAATGGTTTTCCTCCTGGCACATACCCGCGCCTGCTGGAGTCCTTTTGCGGTCCAACCCTACCCCACGCCCGCAATCACCGTACCCGGATCTGGTTCACAGGCCCATCCTCGCAGCACCCCCCGTGAAGCTCTTGCTGTGGGCACGCCTGGCCTAGTCCTTGGCGACCCCGTCACCGCTCATGGTGAATAGCCAGCCTATGTCAAGTGTAATCTTAATACCTCTTGGAAGGGGGTAACAAAAGAAATTTTTCCCTTGGCCACAATTATTGGGTAACTTTAGGACCCCGATCCTTTTACTTGAACAACAGTTTTTCGTTTCTCCAATTCTTTATCCACCGCCAGCAGAATCTCAATAATCACGGGGAGTTACCATCCTTAATATCAGAAACAAACCTGGCTTCCTTGATGTCTAGTTATAGTCTAAACTCTTAGCAGTCATTACAAGCATTTTATGTGTTAAGTAGATTTGCTGACCTTACCAGCTTCTTCCTAAATCTCTAATATGGAAATTGCAACTGGAAACTCCCCTTCCGTGAAAGCAGCCAGGATTTCTTCCCTTGCCTACACTCTGGTTGACAGCTAGAGTTCTTATTGACACCTAAGGTAGCCCAGTACCTGACTGAACAAGTATACCGGCTGATCCAGATGAGCAGAAAACAAGATTAGGATTAAAAGGAAATGAGAAATGAACCGATGTGGAGCAAGGGGATGCCGATACACACTGGAAGACAGACACCAACAGGAATCTTCAATTTGGGGTATGGTGAAGAATGATATTCACTGCAAAACAGCTAAATTGTGATACAGCATGGCTGTGAAAACAGCAAGCTGTGAGGCAGCTCTGGGGCCAGGACTTTCTCCAGCTGGACAGTTCTGCTCCATGCTGCATTGGTCTGCTACACTGGTTTGCTAGTTTGCTCCTCTCTACTCCCCATTGCATCTTAGAAAGACATAGGCATTTAACCTCAGCCAGGGAAACCCACTCTTAGGGAAGGGAAGGTGAGCTCTGAGGCTTATATGGCCAGAAGTCCCCACCCTTAGCCCCTGATTGACCTGTCATGTAAATGAGGACTCCAAATTCTCCCATTGTGATTGGTCTAAAGGCAGTGATATGCAGCTTGGGTTGGATGGGGAAAGCCTTAGTCCTATTGGTGAAAATAGGATTCCAGGAACTTCTTTATAAAGGCTGGCTCCTTGACAGAAACAGTGTAGGCAGGAATTCAGTGCAGTCTTTTCTCTGAAGTGCCGATTGTTTGAAAGGCCTCTGTGTAGAAATGGCTGCTAGACTTTTTTGCTTTTTTTTTGGCCTGGTTACCCACCAAGAGCCCTTTTTAGTAGGTGTTTTCTTTCTCAGGGTTCACATGACTCATTAGAGACAGGGGACAGGAGACCTGTGTGGGTCCCAGGGAGTTTCATAGTAACTTCCTCTTTATTTAAGGTTTCCTACATTAGTAATTTTTCTGGAGTACCTCAGTGGGGGAGGCACCAGCTTACTGTACAGCTTTATATCCCTCTCCCGGGTCCACCTACACCCACTACACACCTACCACTGCTGCCTTCCTGCTTTTGCACAACCTGTTCTTCTCTTCCCTTTGCCTGGAACACCTTCCTCCCAGCTCTATATGTGGTGGTCCACATATTTTTCTAGAGCCCACATTTTCCCTCCACATCTCCAAGTAAGGCCTGCCTCCTTTTTACCCCTTAGCCCTGAGTAATATTTTAAAACACTACATTTTGACTTGGAGTAGAGCAACTTTTTATGTTGCAGGGCAGAATTTCCCTTTTAAATCCTGTGAAGTGCTGTACATAGTAGGTGCTAAATGAATATTAGAGTGAATCAGATTTGTTGCAATTAAATGACAGGTAAATAACAAACACTTCTGTTCAAAAATGAAAGTGCATTTGTTTCTATTTCTACCTTTCTCAAAATCAGTTCTAAGACATCTAAAGAAAGAAATGAAAGTGTTTATGTAATGGAGGGCGGGCAAACTCTATGTAAAGGACCACATAGTAAATAGTATATTTTAGGCTTTGGGAGTCATACGGGCTCTGTTGCATATTTGACTTTGTCATTTTTTTAAAAGAACCTTTTAAAATGTACACATCATTCCAACCCTCTAGTCTGTACAAAAACAGGTGTAATTGCAGGAAATAAAAGGGAAACTGAGTAGGTCACTCGTTGAGGATTGCTGAAAGCTGCGTCGTTCCTCTTTCCCACGTGGTGGGCCACACCTGTTTTGACATCTTGATGGAAACAAACACATGTCTATACTGAAGAAAGTGACGAACAATGACTCTGGAACAACATTCCTGGCTTTAAATTCTTCAGCTAGTGACCTACATGAGCTGGTAGTTTCTTACAGAGGATTAGCTATAATTTAGCTGAAAAGTGACGAGGACAGGGCTGAATCCTGAGCATCTACCATAGAGAGAGTAGTTGTTAACAATTTATTCATGGCATTTTTTTATTATTTTGGAAAATAGGACTTTGTGCTTTTCTGTCAAAGTGCTCTAAGACCTAAAGGGATGTCTAGATTTTGGACTCTGACTTGGGGGCTTCCTCGTGCCTCTCGTGTCTGTAAAAAGTCCAGTTCTTGCCCCATATCCACATCCTCACCTTCCAGGTCCTTGGAAACTTCATAAAACAAGTTATTTAGATTATAACACACTTGTGAAGTGACTGAATATTTAAATTATTAATATATGCTTTCAGTGAAATGGCTCATAGATTTGGTATAGAAGCCAAGGAGGTGTTTTGGTTGTATCATAATTCAAAATAAATAGCTGTTTCTTCTTAGCTTTATGAAGAGCTGCTCTTTAATTTAATGTGTCTGCTTTTTCCCTGTACATCCTCAATAGATGTTTTGTAAAGTAGTTTGCAACACTAGCAGTCTACAAATCCAGGGATATTATCTGATTATCTTAGATTAATTTTCAGATCTGTGAGGTAATGCTACCATGTGCCCACAAGATGTCCATCTTTCCCTGTCTGTAGTTTAGACACAAATTTAATTTCCTGCCCTATTGATGACATATCAGCCCCCTTCATGTGGCAGTGGAGGGGCCACCTCTGGGACATCCCAGGGCGGGAGACATTTTGTGGGAACCACCTGCCATTCACATCTCACCCAAGCTCAGGGCTGAGCTACACTGCCCCAGTGTTTCTCACTCCCCTGGGTGATGGTGCCAGTTGGCTTTGTCCCTGGAGATCAAGAACAGGTCCCTCGCCTTTGCATACAGCCCCTGCTCTCACCTCCAAGGGATGCAAAGTCTAAGGCGAGGGCAAACATTGTTTCTTCCTGGAAGATTAAGTTTATTCTGAAGTCAGCAGAATCCTGACTTTTTAATTTTAAAACAAGCATAGTTGAAATAGAATGCAAAACTAACAAGACTATTAAAGATGAAGCACAATTTTAAAGGCCTTTCACAGTTGCAATACCTTCTCTCAGGGAGTGCAGGCTCAGTCTGCCTTGTACAGTATTTTGTGAACATCAGGCAGCTGGGACAGCTTGTCACGTGAGAGCTTCTGGTGGCCTTCAGGATTTAAGAAGAAAAGTAGGGCTTAGAGAGGGTGACAGGTGAAAGGATTCTGTCAAGGGGAGTGGCTATGCCAGGGCATGTTCCCCTTACCCAGAGAAGGGTGTTGGAGAGGGAAGAGAAGTGTGTCCTTTCATCTTCGGCCAGTGAGGGGTGATGGAACGAATCTCACGGAGTTCCATATGTACCTGGAGTGATTGGAGGCAAATGTGGGAAGGCCAAAGGTGGTGGCAGATTCCTGGGGCTGTGGGAAAAGGGTAACGGTAAGCAAGCCACACTTTCACCAGCATTGGACAAAGGTGGGGGTTTTCTGTGCAGTAAATATATAAGCCTCTCAATGAGAGCTGTCCAGGGAGGACAACCAAAAGGGAGGACAGACACCTAGCAGGCGTTCCTGATGCCCAGCGCCCAGGCAGAGTGAAAGCAGGCAGCCTGGAGTAAAACGTTGCTGCTATATCCACCATCAAAAGACCTGCAGCTGGATGTCCACAGCCTGCTTTGGCCACCTCCTGTATCCCAAACACATGGCAGACCATGTCAGCTGCTCACCAGCATCTGTTTTGTTTTTTTTCCCGGGCAATCAAGAATTCCCCAACCTCCCTTGCAACTGACATGAGAGGAAGTTCCACTGGCTGAATGTCAGCATCAAGCCCTGTTGGTGATGCCTCTCCTCGCATCCGTCCACTGCTCCCTCCACAGCAGTCGCTGCTATCCCAGGACTGCCAGCTCCTCCCAAGTAGCTCTAAGGAGTCTCCCACTGCACTAAACTTCTGCTCCTGCTCAGCCTCTGCCCTTGGCCACCCAGTTTTGAGTGGCATTGTGGCTATGCCACAAGGATGACACAATGGAGAGGAGCGAGGCAGACAGGCTCTGAATTCAACTGTATTGCCTCCCCGTGCAGCAGAAACCAAATTCAGACTCCCACAGATGATAAGCTTCTGCTGGATGTG